TGATGCAGAGAGGAGGCAACGGTTGCAATAGGCAAGTAAAACTACAACCTTTCTTGGATTCATGCTTGGATTTCTAACGACTGGTGTGTGATCTGATCTTGATGTGTGAAAAGTTGGTAAGGTGAGTAGGAGAATAAAGAAGAGAAAGAGGAAATTTTCTGTGATATAAGTGTGGGAGAGCCATGTTTCGGCACGAATAGGTCGGCTCGACCGGAGCGATACCACGGCCTCACAGAAAACCGGCGTGAAACAACCACAGCGTTGTGTTTCGCCGTGTGAGTGAGGTTACCGGAGTCCCAATCCTTCCCCTTCCCCAATCCCTCCCCAGTCCTTAAATCTCCAAATCCTTAATCCCTAAAAGGTCGGCAACGCACTCGTAACTCATCCGTTGCGGGTGTCCATGATGCGGGCGGCGCTGATTGCTTACCATCAGGTAATCCGTCTGCTCGTTTGCCGACCTATTACATAAAAAGAAAGATATGCGCAACTGCATTGATGGTGAAAAGAAAGTTAGTTGGCCGTCAATAGTGAATCTATCCAGTACGCCTCATTTCCACAGTATAAAAGATTATTTTTTACCAAAGATCGCTTGCCTGGTCTCTTTCAATGTATAAAAGTCCTACTTAGAAGTCACCTCGACTGACGTAAGAGCTGACTAAAGTCTAGAAGACTTATAGAGACTACGAACAAAATCTATTCTTCTGACGTGACTCTAAATTGAAAAACAAATAAAAAATCAAACAGGAGTTAAAATAAAAAAACTTATAAATTATTTATTTATATCTGTCGCTACACTAATCATTCAAATGTATGAGATTACTTATTTTTATAGAGTCGTCTTTCTATTTATGGATTCTTACATAATTATAATCTGTTTTCGTTATAGATAAACGTGTTTTGTAAACGATTTGATCCCAATTTGTTATTTACAATTTATGAGATCTGATATTTTGTTGACAGACAGATGTACACGTAAATAGGCTATAAAAATCTGTAGTCTTGTCTTGTCGTTTTAGGAAACTGATATTCCGTGAGGGACAGCAGAGACCTTTATCCCAACCTTTATTCTTATTTCGAGTATCACATAAGCCGACAAAATCGATACCAAAACATTTCAAACCAATCAAATTTTTGCTCTCAAAAAGTTGAGGGTTGTCTTGACGAAGTGTTTTTTTTCGATTATCAATATTCTTCGATACAATGCAGCAAAACAAAACAAAAGTATTATGCGGATGCCTTAATTAATAGATAAATCGGTAGTTTTTAACTAGTTAAGTTGGATACTTTTGTTAAAATGTCAATCAAAAACTATACTCATTACGTAATTTGTATGAGATCGCAACAAACAATATACATACGACGTCATAATGCTATTACGCCAAACAACATATTTATTTTTAAATAGTCAACAAAAACAAAAACAATTAATACATCGTCAAATCAAAGAATAAAAGCCCATATATAAACATATTAATTAAATATTCATTAATTCATTTTATCGAAAACTGAAAATAATTTATTTTTGACCTAAGTAAATAACTCAATTAGATTTAATTAATTTCAAATATACAGGGACGAATCTTAAATGTCCAAATCTAAACGTTAAGCTAATATACATCATTAACTTAGGTCTTATCCAAGGACTTGATTTTTTAAGTGTTATAAAAGGTTTGGGTTCTCAACCCACGCCTTTATACAAAAATTCGGAGTCTGATATAAATTCTGCCCAATACGTTGTTGTTTCGTAGTTCCGTGGCTGTATATGAAGGGCGGAGTGAACGAAACCATAGCGCGATTCAGAAAATCGAGGCAATTGTAGAACGCCATCTATCGACGCAGAAAGAACTATATTTATTTAGAGTAATTTCGTTTTAACCGATGAAAAATGTTTCAAAAATGTATACCATGTAATTGGATTTAAATATATTATTTTAGACAGTATTTTCTAATAGAAATTAGTAGTAAAACTGCTTGGTACAAGGTTAAACTTCTCGTTACGTTTTAAGTGACTTTGTTTATTTTAAAGACAATTTTAAACATGATTTTAGAACAGGTAAATTTGTATCAACTCTGTTTATATTTTTTTAAGCATAAGAGTTGTTTTACACGGATAAAAAATTGAGAAAATGTCAAGAATTAATATAAGCGATGTAAGATTTAATAAAATTGGCTAACCTTAGTTAAAAATAATAATTATTATTATAATTGTGATTTACGTGATATGCTCAAAGATAATAGGTATACACAAATAAAAAAGTAAGTAGGTACCTAAGCTATAAGTACAAAAATGCTTAATTTTACCGGATGGGTTGCGGCCAACAGGATAGTATTTTTATAGTCAAAATCAAAGGCAAAGCCCTTGTTGTAAACTTAGTCTATAAAGTTGGTGTTACATTATGATAAAGTACTTAAGACATAGCAGCCGTTTATAATAATTGCAATAATGATCATCATTTAAAATCAGAATGAATTTAACATTGTAACTGAATTATTTAGTAGTTCAATTTAATAACAGATACTTTAAAACAAGTCAATTAAATATAATAATACTACAATGTATATACACAATTAAAATTCAAATAAGTTTTTTTTATAGTTTCCTAAGCCAAAGTTTAATGTCAAAAATAATTATTAAATTTAAATAATATTCAGCTCTATGACATTACATTACATACTTGTATTTAATGTAAAATTGTTTGTGACTAGAATAGACTGAATCTTTATATTTGTATAGGACATTTACCTCTCTTGTAAGTACAGAAAAAAAAGTCATTTTAAGCTCGACCCTAAAAACTAACAACGTTCTGAATAATAACATTTTTGCACAAGAAAAAGATTAAACTTTTTTTGTAAAGTTGTAGCCGATTTTTCAGTTTTCAACGTACGGCGGCAAACAAACCTGCGGAATACCTGATGGTAAGCAGTCGGTACCGCCCATGAATACCCACAACACCAAGGTAGGTGGACTAGGTGGAAGTACACTGCCGGCCTTTTAGAGACAAGAGGTTTTAGGTGTTAAGGTATCGGGTAGGTAAAAACTCTCTTACATGGCGAAACACGACGCCATCAAACATTTTTTTTTACAAAAGGTGTGTCAACCTCTTTTTATGTATATATACATAGGTACGTTAGGTACATACAATTTGTAAATACATAAGCTGACCTAAGAAGTTTGCGCAAACCACAATACCTACCTACTGATAAGCAAAATTCGAGTACAAAATGTCAACTTCCTCTATTTTTTTATCTGTAGCCTACATCCATTTATGTAAAGACAATCTGTGTCGTAACACGTTAGCAGGTACTCCTTCTAAGAAAATTATGTCATTATTACCATTTTAGGATGCGCTCGAGCATTTTAATTGTGATACTCATTCTTCGAACGCACTGTGTCACCTAGATATTTATTTGAATTGACATTTATGGTGATCGTAGGCTACTTTAGGCCAAATTTTATTCCGGATTCGTGGTAATCGGTGCATCAGATATCGAAATATCCGAAGTGATGACATCGGGTAAAGCCATTGAGATTGAAGTCACCAAATTTTCAAATTTTGCACTAAAATATATCAGCATTTCTGTGGTCAAGCAACGCGGGAGTTGCATCTTTAAATTTAACTAAAGGGAATATCTTTTGTTCAATCGAGATTATTAAAATGATGACTCAGAAACTCGAAGTAAATTTTGACTACATCGTTGATGCAGTGGCTGTCTAACGTGCCGCGGGTTCGATTCTCGCACGAATCACTTTGTATGATCCACAAATTGTTTATTCTGGTCTGGGTGGCTTGTGTTTGTAAATTTGTAGGTTTGTATACTCTACTACTACTATAATATGTCCACGGCACAGGAGGAAATCATTGTTTCCCCACACTATGGTCTTTTATGCGTTTCAAAACCGTTTAAAAAAAATCACACACAAATAATCAAATTGTCAGTAAACTTTAACAGAACTGAAAAAATAAGTAGTTGATTGTTTAAGTTCACAAATCTGTGACACTTTGATTGCATATTTCGCAACAAAAACTCATCCTGATTCAATATAAACAGAAAAGCAAGCATATAATTATATACTAATCAAAATTAATTTTGAAATTAAACGTAAGAACACAACTGATTAACAAAAAGTGAGTGGTCGATGGTCGATAATCTTATCTGGTACAGCCCTACATGGTGGTACGATCCATGTGTGAGTCAAGAGGATGTCATCACGACACTCATATTCCAATTTTGGTCACACACCCTTTTTATCAGAACCAGAATTCGCTTGGCAACATTCTTAAAGGTACTTACATCGGCCTGTATATAAAGATGTACAAAAGAAACCACGCTGTATAAGGTGTGTAATTGAAAAATGCTCGTTATAACGTAATTTATTTCTTATTTGCAAAGAGTTCTTGTTTTGTAACTTTATTGTAATCCAATGAAATAAAAACAGATCAATAAGGTCGAATTTAAAAAAACAAAACAGTAACTACCGAAATATTTACTCGTGCATAAATAGGAAGTTGGAAGTAGTTTTTTTTTAATGAGGAAACAGATTTTATGGTTTTGTCCAACTAAAGCTGTTTATAAGGGCCATTGGTGTTTGGCGCTATCTGCATCGACGTGCAATATCTCCGATAAAAACAATAATGCCGGCCTGTTTAAGCGATTTATCCGTTTTTTAATTATTTCGTAATTAAAAATGTAATTCAAACGCATCTTGATAATGTTAATGACAAACGTAATAACTGATATAACATCACTAATCACAATCAACTAGGAAGAGTTACGCGGAAAATTAAAAATATAATGCAATCTCTACATCTTGTCAAAGAAAATAAAATTTCAATATAATAATATATTGCAGTGTATTTATAAAATATCGCAAGCAATGAACTGAGACGAAATAAACAAACATTAGCAGCACAAAAGTTCTTAAAGCTACATCACAAAGAGTAAAAATAACAAAAGTAAAGTAGGAAGTACTTGTGAATAAATGAAAAATATGCACTTACTTTTTCAGCATGAACGCCTTGCTGAGCTCCTTGAGGACTGTGGAGACGATGGCCCCGGCGGCCGGCACCGCCAGCACCGAGGCGTCCATGCAGGCGGACAGGGCAGCCGGCGCCAGCACGCCCAGCCGGCTAAACCTTTGATTATCCTTCGACATCACTTTACTCATCCACTTGAACCCTTGAGTCCACTAGAACTGTCAACTAGTCGCGATCCGTAAACTGAAAGCGCGCGACCGACACCGCTCAGCGATCCGCTTCGCACGCTACTTCACGATTGAATGTTGCCTCGATCGAAGTATGCGCGAGCGCAGCGTTTGTGACGGCCGGCGCCCTTACTACGGCCCGTCGAGCGGGTTTACAAACAAATGCACGAGGGGAGGGGCAAGATGCTCGGCCCTCGAAGACGTCCATCGACTCACGCAGGCCACTTAATGACTGAGATGGGATTTACCCTCCGTGGATATTACTATCTCGTTGTAATTATTGGAGGTGTGCACGAGGTAACTGTAAAATCGGGTATTCCTTAGTGTTTAGTCATTTAGGTATCTGTCGATTCATCACTAGCTAACTTGAGCTTTTAAGGAAAATGGTCTGTCTTCAATTTATCTTTTAATACTATTCACACATTTTATTTTATTTAATAAATATAATTTTGGTTCATTGGATACTTTGAGCTTCGGCATTATCGTTAGTATCACAAACCATTTGCAAAATGGGTATATGAAATAAGCATAATTTTTGGTGCTTATAGGATTTTTACTCACAATTACCTGATAGTATTTCCTAATATATACAAGTTTAGGCACCTAAGTTTATGGACCCATGTGTAAGCCCCTTTTATTTAGTAAAAATAAGATAGATAGCGTTCTCGTATTTCACAAAATAGATATTTAAATATAGTCTACTCATAGGAAAGAATGTACTACAGCAGCCGCGATTCTATTTTAATGTCAGTAATACATCTTAATGAGGAAATAAGGCAATTTGAATTTCAATCACAATACAATAGCTGTCAATTTACGATGTTATTTCTAAACCTTGTCAATACCTAAGCATAACACACTACCTACTCTGTATTGTTTGTGAAGAAAACAGGAGTTATACTTAAGTGTGAGAGAGCCAAGCTTCGACACGAATGGGCAAATTCGACAGGAGCGATACCACAGTCTTACAGAAAACTGGCGTGAAACAACCATAGCGTTGTGTTTCGCCGTGTGAGTGAGGTAACCGGATGCTCAATTCTTCGCCATCTCTCCCCATTCCCGAAATCTTGCTATGGTAACTCTAATATGAGGGTAAGTAGTTTCTTCTTTTATTTTTTGTGACTAATCATGTCCATCAATATTATTAAGCAATTCTTAGAAATCCGGAGGTTAAGGTGGCCACTTGTTATGCATGAGAATTTGAGGCACATCAGAGAAGTACTTATGAGGCTTTTTCAAGTGACTTTCACTTGAAAAAGCCTCATAAGTACTTCTCTGACTTAGACTTCTTGACTTAAACACCATTGACAGTAAAGGAAAGTATAGTGAGGAAACCCAGACAATAAATTTCTAATCTGGACCAACTGATGAAGACAAAAGCCCTACTGCGTATCATTGTTGCGACAGACCACGGTATCCGAGGCTGTTAATGAAGCGAATAAAAGGGGAATTTTATCCGAGACAGCTGCTTTGTTTGAAGGTCCAAGGTCAACTCAGCTCTTAAAAATATAATAATAACACTGCGTTCATTTATATCGAAAAAAATAATTATAATACCAAAGAAATTAACTACCAGATACTCAAGTCAACAAATAGATAATGAATTTCTTTTTGTGCCATAATTGGTTCGATGATGATGATGATGACTAGGACCAGTCGACCCTTTAGACTTTGAAGATAGCGAGTAAAATTATCTACAAATAATATCTTTCAATCTTGTGATTCATTCATCAAAGTCTATCTATTAATTAGTTTTTTGGCATTTTTGTTTTTTATGACTGTCATCATGAGTAACCTGTGGCACGACCTAAGTGACTTTATCTTCTTCTTCTTCTTCCAAAATATCACCATTACGTCATTATGCCAGTAATTAGGACCAGGCTTTTGGAAGCAATTTGCATCCAGGGACTATCTGGAACCTTTATATGAGAATATCTGTCAACCCTTGTTTATTAAACATTAAAAAAATTGGCACATGAGAAATTATAGTCTGGATTAACACAGACTTCTTTAACTTTAGCCTGGTGATGTGGGCGAAACCGCGGGCTAAATCTGCATACTACCTGTAGATACATGCGCAAGAGCATACGTGACTGAGCTTGTTCGTAAAAAATCTTTCGAAGAAACTATAATATCCACAGGAAAGTGATGCATCTTTCTACAAAATTCCCCAGAACCCAGTCTCTTGAAGGAGGAAAAGTCATTCCAATCAAGTAAACTACTCGCTCGATAACAATAACGTCAGCCACAGAACACTTTTTAAATACAGGAAAGCACTTTTTACTCAGACCGTGTAATACTACACAATTGTGTAATCAATAGACTTATGTTACACATCTATAAAATTTTTTAGGGGCAATGATTTCATTTGTCATAGTTGAGTTCGTATTGTATAATACCAAAATGAGAAAATATCGTCAACAATTACAAATAATTAGTTACGAGGTATACGGTTTGGGGATAAAGAATTCTGGGGATTCAGGAATAGGGGAAGAATGGAGGAAAGGCAACGGTTGGCCATCCGGTAACCTTATTCATACGGTGGAACACAACGCTGTAGTTATTTCCCGCCAGTTTTCTGTGAGGCCGGTCGCAAATTTTTAGTTTTTCTATGTTTAGACTTTTCACTCATCAATCATGTTCATAATGGTCACAACGAACTGTAGGTAAAGGAACTGTTTCAGTTTAAACAGTAGCAGTAATTAATCAAATGAAAACATTGTGATCTTTATCATATAATTTGATAGCAACATTGATTAGATTATCTTTAAATTTTCAATCATTATGTTCAAGGACATATTTCTGCCGTTTGATTTAGACAATTTCTAGAAGAACAAAATTGCTTTTGATTTCATATCTTTTTTGGCCTACATTCATGACGTTGATGTTGGAGCAATGTTATTTATGTGCAGAAGTCCTCTTATTTGTTAGGACATAAAACTCTTTTTCCCTTGTACCATTCTATTAATCTTAACATTTCCCTTCAATACACGCACACTTCTCTATACATTCATTCTTTATTTGCGTAACAAAGTATGATAGAGATGAAAAAGATGTACGTCTTATAATTATCAGGTAGATTATTCTTTTTATGACGTGGATCAGAATTGGACAGGAATGGGATTGGCCGCAAATGCGACAGCCAAAGGAGGAAGCTCTAGTGCTATGGGTCATTAAAATTAGAGAAAATTCGTCTTAAGTGTGGGCAAGCATTGGGTCTACTGGAACGGTGTGATATCCAGCCTCACAGCAAAACCCAGGTGAAACAACCACAGCGTTGTGTTTCGCCGTGTGAGTGGGGCTACCGGTATACCTACCTACCTCCCCTTTATTTAAATATCAGAAAATCCTTAGCCTTAAAAAGCCATGCACTCAAAGGGGTATTGTGAGTATCCACGGGCGGCACCGATTGCTTACCGTTACCATCAGGTAACAGGTCTGCTGGTTTACCGACATATATCTTAAATAAAATCTTCATTCAAAATATAATCTTCATAAACACAATGTTCTTGCTAATGCGGTTCCTACTGATTTTAGTTTCTCAATTGTTAAACTGTACCGTCAAGGTGGAGAAAAGAGCTGATTTGTCAGAATAAGCCGTTTGCAAGTTGTCAGGAACCGATCTGGCAGTCTATAGGGGAGGCCTATGATTAGCAGCAGTCGACTTCTGCCTAACATAATGATGGTGAGGAATTGGTAGGTTACCTATACCTTTTTAAGTTGTTTCTTATCATTACACTGGGCGATAATGAAATAGACATTTGGATGGGTTGCCGCGAAACGTGCTCTAGGCTAGGGTCCCAAACTGGACTTCTTGTGATGCAGAAATTACTGTTCCGGGTTTGTGTGGAATAATGAAATAGTACACTTGTTATTATAAAATGCGTTTCGTTTTTTTTTACACTCACGTTCTGAGTGGGGCGAAACGAGTTTCAGACGCTAACTGACTATAAAAAGCACCCCGTTTCTTATGGTGCTACTGATTAATTACCTACCTACAGGTACTTTATATATCAGCTATTAACCCTTCAGCCCACTGCGATTTCCGTAGTTTGTAGGCTTCAAGACTTCAAGACTTCTAGACACTTTTAAACATCACAGTTGCTCCATAGTTAAATTAACGGCCCACTCCGAAAAAGCAGATATTTCAATCGTTAATTGAGAAACAAGATCACTAGTTACCTACCTACTATTTTTCCGACGAAGACACGTAAGTGCGTAATTAATTCCATAATATCACCTTCATATATTAATGTAAACTACTACTAAGTTAACACTTTTACTACAAGGATAATAATAATAATAAATTATCTTATATGTGCAGTTATTTTAACGTAATTGCGTTTTAAGTGTAATTGTGACGCGCGTCGCGTGATTTGTGCATCGACGTCAGCAATGCGAACCGATCCAAGTCTTACTAACACAAACTATTGTAGTTTTTCCTGTAAATAAGCAATAAGGATGTAAGAAAAACAAGCTATCTGAGGTAATGTGAAGAAATGATTTAATATTCCAATCACACGATCCTTAACCGATCTCATGGTTTTATATTGCTGGTTTTCGTTTCATATAAATGTGAGAGAGCCAAGTTTCACGAATGGGTCGGCTCGACCGAAGTGATACCACAACCTCACAGAAAACCGGCGTAAAATAACACAGCGTTGTGTTCGCCCTAAAAGAAGTTGTTTTGATTCTGACACCACTTCTGATTTATTTAATACCTACTAGCTCTGCACGCGACTTTGTTCGCGTTGAAAAGTGACTTCCTGCAGAATTTTTACCGTTCAACAACTATCCAATGTCCTTTATCGAGTTCCAAACTATACATATCTGTACCAAATTTTCACAAAGTGGTTCAGTAGTTGAGGCGTGAAGAAAAGACAGACAGAGTTACTTTCGCTTTTATAATATTGGTTTAGATTTCTAAAAGCATTAGAATTACAAAACCTCTAAAAAAGAAACTTAAAAAAACTTTATTACAAAGCAACAATAATTACTTAAAGTAAGTGTGGGAGAGCCATGCTTCGGCACGACTGGGTCGGCTCGACCGGAGTGATACCACGGCCTTACAGAAAACCGGCGTGAAACAACCACAGCGTTGTGTTTCGCCGTGTGAGTGAGGTTACCGGAGGCCCAATCCTTTCCCATCCCCAAACCTTCCTCAATCCCTAAATCTCCATATACCTAATCCCTAAAAGGTCGGCAACGCACTCGTAACTCCTCTGTTGCGGGTATCCATGGGCGGCGCTGATTACTTACCATCAGGTAATCCGTTTGCTCGTTTGCCGATGTATTACATAAAAAAAACCTATAACAGCTATAGAAATTTGTCTAAAACCTTCTATATACACACATTAACTAAGTGAAATAACTCACCATGTCTATGGTATACATGCGCTACGGGTACCGTTAAACTCACTGGACATTGATTAACTGAGAGCCAAGAGGGCGTATTGTATCAATCATATAAAAATATTGGATTAACTGTAATGAGCATAAACCGTTCATATATCGACTAAGAATTATTACTGTCAAAATAATTTCTAGGTCGGTCACCGATTTGACAAGTTTACCGATTCCATTGATTCATCCGATGAGCTATAATCGTTACGATTCTTGTATTTCGAAATTATTTATCAGCCGGGGTTGCGGGGCAAGCTCTATACGGCACCGTGGTATGACCTAGAGCAGAAGAAGGAGCAGGGTTTAGTCTGAAAAAAGTATTTATTTCAAATCTATGTACAAACTTTTTTATTGGAAAAATGTAAACATCGCCCTAAGCAAAAAAAGAAAATGTAGTTACGTTTTTAGTCGCTGGGTGCGCCACTGGTCTGTCTCTGGCAAGTTTTTATTAATGTGTTTGTGAAGGGAACATAATCAAATGACTTCTCTGACTGAGGCGAGAAGGAGTGTCAGACTCTTACTGACTAAAACCCCCTATTCCTTCTCCTGGTTTAGGCCGCGGCCGCGGTACGTTTATGTGCTAGCCACACAACCCTGTTATCAAGGGGTTGTTGTAATCAATTTTGCTCTCAGACATTAAACCAAAGCATAATTTGTCAAATCTAATTAGAAATTGTATTATTTCCTGCAGTATTTAAAAACATGAAATTTATTTTCATTCATCTTTATTGTCACACCAACAATTGTACACAATTAGAACATAAAACAACAGACAATTCCATTTTAGATAAGTAAAATGCTACATCATACGGCACATCGGTCAAATTATATACAGACGAGAATTCGCTAATAATAATAAATAATCTTAATAATAAAACTTACATCAATGACAATCAACAAGGAAAATTAGTCTAAACACTAAAAACAAACTATTTTACAAGAATTTAAAATTAAATAATTTGAAGTTGAAATAAATTACTAAACTACTTTAAATATTGGAGAATTATTACAATATCCATCGAATAATACATGGCACGAATGCATGGAATGCACTGGCATGAATGTGCTGTCTTTACTGAAGTGATACTACGTTTTCTCAGAAAATCGGCGTGTAATAACAACAATCCCCAAATCCTCTAATCCTGACCTCCGAAAGGCAGGTAACGCGTTTGAAACACCGGAGGATTTTGGGGTAAGATTGGTGCTCACACTCACACAACATTTCACTTCAGCTCAGGATCACCTTTAGCTGGCTAAATGGTTCTTACTCCTTCTACTTACTTCCTTTTATATTTTTTTGGTTTTACATTTTGGCTAATACATGCAATCAGAACTCTGACCAGTGATGGGATGACTGGATGGGACTCGCCTCGCGCCTCGTTAATTTTGATGAATCTGGATAACTTTTGCCGATCGCATGGTCCAGTACCGGCGACGCATCTTTCAAATGTCTGCCTTATCACCTTTCGATGGTAGTTTCTGCGACTACCATGGTTGTCACGCGTAACGGGGAATCAGGGTTCGATTCCGGAGAGGGAGCCTGAGAAACGGCTACCACATCCAAGGAAGGCAGCAGGCGCGCAAATTACCCACTCCCGGTGGGTAATTTGCGCGCCCACGGGGAGGTAGTGACGAAAAATAACGATACGGGACTCTTACGAGGCCTCGTAATCGGAATGAGTACACTTTAAATATTTTAACGAGGAACAATTGGAGGGCAAGTCTGGTGCCAGCAGCCGCGGTAATTCCAGCTCCAATAGCGTATACTAAAATTGTTGCGGATTTACCTACTCCATGCCTCCTGCCATTTTTGTAGGTAAAAAAGTCCAAATCAATCCAAAAGTCTCTTCGCGTCGCATCATATCCGTATATTACTATATCGGCTACTGACAAAACACGATCGAGTTTTTTTTTCTTTCAAATCACCCGGTCAACTTTAGGTATCAGATATTCGTGTTCAAAACTGATAAATTACGTAGTAATTATGGATTACTATTAGTGGAATATACATATCTGCCTACCCGTAAACTAAATCAAAACGAAAACGGTATGTACATATATATATACAGACACCAGAGATCCCTTAAAAGTTGACAACACAGGAACAATACATTGCAATACATAATTTTAATTCACATTGACACAACTGAACACACAGGTAAAGGACCATTAGATGTCATATTACATCAATCTTAGTTGCTTACAAGAAAACTAGCTTTCGCCCGCGTATGTAGTAAAGTGAAGTGTATTCTATGCCTTTGCCAAATTTGATCCAGATCCGTCCAACCGTTTTAGCGTGATTGAGTAACAAACATCCAAACATCGTTACTTTCGCATTTATAATATTTACTAAGATGAGATAATCTTCAAGAAAGTGATCACCCTACTGAATTACGTCACCTGGATTTCAATTGTTTATCAGCTGGATTTGCTTTTTGTTGTAAATCTAACACTTTATTTCAACCTGCGACTTTTAACGTAAATTAACTGCGGAAATCTCAAGTTCCAGTAGTAGTTCAAGTAACCAAAGTCTAATATGGGAGGCATAAATAAGAGTCCCGATGTGACTTGAAACTAGTAGAGTTTAACTCAGACAATAATTCACGCGAATTAAACCCGGTTTCTGAAAGGCTTGTCAACGCTAAAATTAACTAATCTACTGTTAATTCTCTTGTCAAGACATCTGATTGGTTGTTGATAATTCAGTCAACCAATTAGATGACTTGACAAGAGATTAAATTGATTTTAACATTGAACGGCCTTTCAGAAACCGGGTATTAGTCGTTTTACCAAATAAATGTAGAGCATATACTATTAAAGAAAGTTTCTCAATTTTGAATTCAGAATTTGGAAGTATCAATATCCTCGACTGCTAGCGAGAATCTGTTACTGAAGATTATAGTTTATGAGGATTAATATTATCAGAGAGCGCTGCAATATTTCAGTGAGAAAATGGATAATGACAGACATTGCATTCAATCTAGAAATATACACTGATTTAAAGATTGACCGCGACTAAAACTTAATTCTCTGGCCGTCATTAATAAAACCGTGTTTACTATTGCGCCCACCTTCATTATAATGAACTGTATTCATTACTTTACTTTAGGTTTATTAGGTTGCGTAGGTTTTATCGGTTCATTAGCAAAACTTTAAGTGTTCGGCCTGATTATTTAACCCACTTTGTTATTGACAAATTAATAATTTTTACTTCACTTTTTGAGAAGAGAATGTGTTGAAAATGAGAGTATTTTTTCCGAATTTAAGACATTTTCTTGAGTAGCAAACTTAGAAGTTATATAATTTGTAAAATGACATACATACTCGTACTTTATGTATCTTTGAGAACAACATACGTGTGATTTTAAGTGATTTCAGTAAGTAATATATACAGAATAAAGTTATGCGCACGAAGATCTAAAACCAATAGTTTATTGAGCTGGCCATCGTCATACAAAAGACATTATTGACTCCAGTTGACGTTAGTACTTCGGGCCTGCGCCTGCGCTTACAGGGAGCTCACAGCGAGCGATCGTGATAAACATACCGAATGGCTCAGTGCGCCAATAAAGGAGCTGTGAATGAGTAAGGCTCGTTTCCCATCGAGGTCGTAATGTCACATGTATCAGGACAAAATATATCGTATTTTATTCATATAAAATTAAGATAGTAATAAAAAAAATCGGAGCATTTTCTTTCGTTTAAAGATAATGCTTGGTTTCTTTTGGCTTATAAGTCAGTGAGTTTGCTACTAAAGATAGAATTATAAAAAAAATATCAGCGTTTATTTTTCTCGCTAATAACAATGATATCTGATGTATAAATATAATGTACAAATGTGCAAATTTATATCATAAAATTCATTCATTCTTGTATAATAGACGGATACCTGATTAATTTATATGCACATCAACGTAGAAGATGATCTCACCTTAGATCAAAACTTTTCCATTGATCTATCATTAGTTAGTCTATCTATATCATGAAGGGCTGGTCTACCATTGTGAGACGGCTTATTGGATACATTATAATTACTTTCTTGACACGGCAACGATTCCATTGTTAAGCTACTGCAATCCAAAGTCTTCAATTCTGTAGTACCAGATACTTTCATGTTGGGGAAAGTCCAGTCTAAAGACTTGGTCCTCTTCTTACCACTGGCTGTGGTCTCCTGCTGTTTCCTGCAGACGGTGTACAGCCAATCATCAGAGTTCGACCTCACTTTCTCAGGGCTACTCGGAGCCTCTGTCTTTTCTTCGACAGAATTTGCCAAATTTAGAAAGCTTGGTCTTCCGGACAATTGCCCTAACTGCCTTCTTTGGTATCTCCTGCGGTGAACGTTTCCTCTCTCCAACTCGTCTCGTCGGGCCAGCCAGTAGTAGTGGGTGATTGGGTCTCTTGGCCCCCAGTGGCGTGATGGTTTGAACGATGACTTCAACTTCTGCGGAAGAACAAATATTTCCTCTAAAACAGGAACTACTTTGTGATGAATTCTACGTGTGTCACACTAGACAAGGCTACGACCTTAAAATTAAAGCAATAGGAAAAGTATATTAGCCGCTGCTTAGGGAAATGGCGACGCATTCGCATGTGCATACAAAATGTTTTATCTACGAATGTATAAAGTTCTCATTCGAACTATAATTGATTATATTTTAAATGCAATTTGATAACACAAAACGATGTCTATTTCTATAAAAAATAGCGTCGTCTTATCGCGTTTGTGTAAACATACATCCGTTTTAATGAAACATCAATATTGTATTAGATATTCTACACTACATTACTTTCGCCGTCTGGAAAACCCCAGTTACTGGGAATATAGATAAAATAATAATTCGACATGCGCTGATAACAATCTACAAATTAAATATTATTGATGATTTATGCAAACCGCATTTATCTACACTGCTACTCTCAAATTAAATCAGTTTAAAAAAAGAAACGTAAAACGAACTCGACGAAAAAGCAACCTATTGCAAAACTAGAATTGAGAAAACCAGCAAAATTAAAAAGAATCGCTTAGTGGGCTGGTCATTAGTTAGCAGCAAACAGAATCATCAATACATTGGCGGAGCATAAAAACATAAAACAAAATAAACAATCGCTTTTTGCATAGAAAATAAAAATGAGAGAAAAGAAGAGACCACGCTAAAGTGAGAAAATATCAAAAGCAGAGATGAGGTTTTTTCAATATCCTCATTGGTAACAGATAGGTGGATTTCCTTTGAATAATTTTATATTTGGAACTGTAAATAGACCTTAGTCTGCAAGAAGACTATAGTCTATTCATACACATAATGTCTTATTGGTGACTGGTTCGTCCGCGAGTCACTCAAGGGGCCAGTAGGATACCAGCACAAGGTCCCAAGGGTCCCATTTCATGGGATACTTGGGACCTTAACATGTATCCATTACTATTTCCAAACAGAATGTCTTAATTACCTAACTGTATGTAAATGTCACTTTTTTTTAGTGTTGAATAAAATATTTTTCTTTCTTTCTTTCTTTCATACAGCTCCTAGTTAGTCCTAGTAAGGTCTTCTCAAGATAACAGTCATGGTCTAATTTCAGTCTTGCAATGAAAATAGTTACTTAAATATTTCTTACCCCAATTAAGTCATATTGGACCTGCTTCATAATGGCAACAAAGGCAAAGATAATGAATATGAGTACTGCCAGGACCGAAGTCGAAATGATGGTGAGGACCGGCCAGGGAGCTTCGAGCCAGGAGTCCTCTTGGATGAAGCACATCGTCACCCACCAAATGGTAAATGGTGCTATAATACCAGGGGCGGCACACCAGCCCAACACCCAAAGCCTCGGTAAATCTCGTCCTGTCAAAAATTCCACGTCTTCAACGAGAACCTTCCAACCTGGAAATTAAAATTTTTGTTTTGAATGTCATTGTTTAATATTTTGCATATATGTTATTGCTTACTAGCTTTTGCCCGCGACTCCATTTACGTGAAATAGTGACTTCCTGTAGATTTTTGGAATTAAAACTATCCTATGTCCTTTCTCGAGTTCGAAACTACGTCTGCACCAAATTTCACAGAAATCGGTTCAGTAGTTTAGGCGGGAAGAAAAGACAGACAAACAGACACTTACTTTCGCATTTATAATAAATATTAGTTCCGCATAGTGTTGATTTTTTTTCTGTATATCAATCAGCTATAAGACGTTAATTGCTGAACATAGATGTGTATATGTGTACGGCTGGTTGAAAGCAATTAGGTACCTAGTTTGTTGTTTTCGGTTGTTATAAACATTCATAGTCTCAGAAATTAACCTATTGGGGTTTCATATCAAAGCTATTAATTTGTCTTGGTATGGCCATGTGAAAAGGAGGGATGAAAAGCATGTAACAAAAAGAGTCATGAGTATAAATGTGGATGGATGGAGAGGGAGGGGGAGACCAAAGAAAATATGGATGGATTGTGTGAGAAGTGATATGGAAGACAGAGGAGTTAGCGATAGCGTGACGAGTGACAGGACAGAATGGAAGAAAAAAACATATTGCGCCGACCCCAAATAAAACGGGACAAGGGCAGGAAGATGATGATGATATCAAAGCGTAATGCAGGAGGAAGTCCATATTACTGAACTGCTTATTAGCTCATAAAAATAGAAAAAGAGCATTAAAATTTTTCATCTCGCTGACTAATCTATGGTTCTAAAGTTCTAGTAAAATGTATTTAGTATGTAAAGAACAGCTTGTAAAGTCACTTACGTATGCACCTAACGTGTATTTGAACTAAGGTTATACGCCACATTGGTGTGATCACCTGGCATTAATCGATCCATTTGTATTGTAATAGTTTAATAGGCTATAAATTTACTTCTGCGACCACGTCAATGGTTTCTGAATAAATATTGACTATTAATAATATTGAAAAACAATAAAAAAATTGACTACTTATATGAAAAACAAATAACAACAGACTGTTTGAATCGAATTGTAGGAGACCTATTTCTGTACTTAAACCTTAAAAATAAGAGATCTTCCAAATTAAATTAAAACTGTTTTCCCATTTTATAATCCATACAAAACCGTACAAATACCTAAGTGTGGAAGAGCCATGCTTTGGCACGAATGAGTTGGCTCGACCGGAGTGATACCACGGCCTCACAGAAAACTGGCGTGAAACAACCACAGCGTTGTTGTTTTTCGCCATGTGACTGAGTCTCCACAATCTCTCCACCTCTTCCCATCCCTTCCTAATCCTTAAATATCTGAAAACCTTATCCCTCATAAGGCCGGGAATGCGCTTGTTTGGTGTTGCGGGTGTGCATGGGCAGCGCCGATTGCTTACCATCAGGTAATCCGTCTGCTCGTTTGCAGTCCTATCCCATAACAAAATATTTAAACCTTACGCACCATATATGAACACAAAAGCCAATATCTCAAGCACGGTGGCGATGCTGATGAGGAGAGGCACAGCATAGTCTGCCAGCAGGTTGAGGACTGGCAGACGACCCCACAGCACTGCGAGGCAGATGAATGCGCTAACCACAGAGCCCAGGAACGAAAGCAGTCGCCATTTGATGCCACCAATGCGACGGAATCGGTCGTACACGGGATATAGAAGGGAGAGCTGGAAAATTAGAATAAAATAAATTATTACCTACATTACTTCTAGAAATAGCTAAATTCCTATCAGTGAAGTCCTAAATTGGGCCACTAACAATGTTGACTCAGCCGGGGTTGCGGGGTAAGCGCAATGAGGCACCGCGACCTCGGCCCAGAGCAGAATAAGGAACGAGGGGGTTTTAGTCAGTAAGAGTCTGACACCAACCCTGGGCGAAGAAATAATTTTGTTGACTGGCTTCAGAGTTACCGAACTCTGTAATAAAAGAACAGTAGAGGAGGAGAAAGGTTTTTCTTTTGTGACCAACATTTGTCTACATTTAGCATCAATGGAGCCTGACATTAATTAACCGACTTCCAAAAAAGGAGGAGGTTCTCAATTCGGCCGTATATATGCTTTTTTTTATGTTTGTTCGCCGAAATCTCAATTATTTATGAACCGATTTTGATAATTCTTTTTTTATTGGAATGTAGATAGTCCCAGAATGGTCCCATGAAAAGGAAATCAGGATCTGATGATGGAAGATCAGAGAAATCGAGGGGAACTTTCAAAAATTGTAGGGGCGAGGTGTGCTTTTGCATATGATTTTAGTAGGCTTTTGACAAATTTACAACTTGCCGATGTTCGAACCCGACCTGATGATGGAGCCGGAAGACAGTCGAGGGATCTCCTTGACTATTTGGAGTAGTCGCCTTGTGTTTGGGCTTGAATGATTCGTATTGGTGAGTACTTTGCACCAAGATTGGTCGTCACTGTCATTAAGGGTCTGATGATGAGAACGATGGACAGCTCAGGGAACTCCTGAACGGTTTACAGTAACTACCTCGTGTTTCGACTTCATTCATTTATATCGATGGAAACTTTGCACCTTTATGGATTACAATAAAGTTATGCAGTAAATTGTGATGATGGATCCGGAAGGCAGTCGAGGGATCTCCTTGATTATTTGGAGTAGTTGCCTTGTGTTTAGGCTTGAATGATTCGTATTGGTGAGCACTTTGCACCAAGATTGGTCGTGACTGTCATTAAGGGTCTGATGATGATCAAAAGAACAGTTCAGGGAACTCCTGAACGGTTTACAGTAACTACCTCGTGTTTCGACTTCGTTAATTTATATCGATGAAAACTTTGCACTTTGTTATGCAGTAAATTGTGATGATGGAGCCAGAAGACCGTCGTGGGATCTCTTTGACTATTTGGAGTAATTATAATGTGTTTGGACTTCATTCATTTATATTGATGAGAACTTTGCACCTATGTAGATTATGTATAATGAAGGCCTGCCTGCCTGATGATGGAGGTCATTGACATTTGAGGGAATTCCTCAACGATTTACGGCACTGAAAACTGACTAACTCAGGACTGCTATTACCGTGATTTCAAGTAGCCGTCATCTTCTCTTTTGAGAAGCATCCTAGCTTTTTCTGCCTATCACTTAAAATGGCGAAATAAAATAATCTTTAACAAAAAAAAAACCGACTTCAAAACGTAAACTAAAAAGCAAAAAATAAATTTATCTTTGTTTAAAGTAATACATATTTTCATTTAGTTAAATATAAAATAATATTTAATAACTAATTTATAATTTTGAAGTCGGTGCCAAGTAAATACTACATACCAAACAATAGGAGTATAAGAAAAATATATTGAATACTACTAATCATCAAACTAGCAAGAGGTATGTACCTAGGTAATATCTTTACACTATTATTCTTTTACTTGGCACCGACTTTAAGATTATAAAATAGTTATTAAATATTATTTTATATTTAACTAAATGAAAATATGTATTACTTTAAACAAAGATAAATTTATTATTTGCTTTTTAGTTTACGTTTTGAAGTCGGTTTTTTTTTTGTTATGCAGGTTAGACTTCTATCATTTTTCACCTTTAACTAATTGCAAAATAGTCCTGGTGGTCTGGAGGTTAAGGCTTCTTTTGCATTAGGGTGCTGGTTCGAAACCTCGCAAGCTATGTGACTTTTTCCAAGTTATACTTATATACTTTTTATAATTAGTAAGACACCACTGACATACGTGAAAACATCGTGTGGAAACCTGGACTTATAATTTATAATTATAAGTTTGGAATCTCCAATCCACCTTGAGCAAGCGTAGTGATTAATGCTCAACCCTTCTGCGAGTGAGAAGTGGCCTTTGCTCTGCAGTGGGCACTTATAGGCTGATGATGTACTAATTTAAAACCGACACCAACGAACTAAAGTTATGGATTACTTAAACATCATAAGACACAAAACTCACCATAGTTATCAATCCAGAGAGCAGTAAAGTGAGGAACATTATCAGCGGCCAGGCCAAGTCGGTGTCAGGGTCTTCTCCAAGTTGGTATGCCTGGACGAGCACAGCGAATACGGTAGTATCCTTTTCTGGACCACTTATGGAATGCCAGAAAATCAGGCTCACCCAGGTTGATAGAATATTCGCTCCCACAAACGCCAGTGATGTCCTAAAATGTAACTTTTGTGATTAGGTAAACTTTTGATTCGAATTTAGAATAAAGAAAATGAAAAAAAAAATTACTGCTAAACCTATCATATCTACTATCTTGATTCCGTTCAAGGACAGAAGAATGCCAACGAGGTCCGATGACTAGAGGACCTTGGCCTCAGACCTTAACAGGTTAGGTTCTCGACAATAGACGCAATTAGGGCAAGGCTAGGCTAGACAGGCACGGGATAAAACAGACTGCAAGACAGTTGATCACAGATTTGAAAAAAATGAAGACTCGATCTAACTGTTAATATAAATTATTTATCAACTTCTCCGTTTCCAATCTATTACGATTTGATGGTGTAAACTAATGACATGCTTTCACGCCATCCTGTCTTTCGCTTTCTTAAGAACAGTTGTAATAGGAACTATTTCTACTGACTCTTCAAACTCTAATTCTTATATGTAGGCACTTAGTAGATAATATCTGATCACTTGATAAATTTTACCCAAATGATTATCACAAAGTAATCTATACAAACAGCTGTAATCAATGCACTATATTTAATGGAAAGTAAACGCACTTGTCAAACTAGTGAAGAAAATAAAACACATAAACCAACTATGAGTGTAAACAAAGATTTAATTCGTTTTCAATGAATAAAACGTGGGATGATCGAGTTAGCAAGTGTCCTGGCCTCGGAACCAAACTGCCTATTGTGATCTATTGTCGGGACCAACCGGCGGATGCTCTCCATTAGATCAGATCCTCAATTTATACGCTGCACTTACTGCACTGAGCATTGGTGAAGGTACGTCAATCAAAACTACTGTGGAAAGATTGAAGAATAATCCTGGTCTGATATCTGGAAGAAGTTGTGTATAAAATTGTAGTCATCGTCGACGACAAATGAAGCTAGGAAAAGTTTTATTGTCTGATGGGCAATAAATATCATAGTTCTAGCTATAAAATACATATTGTAGATTTATATCTATTGATGTTACTGTAGGTATACCTTACATATATAAATAACCTCAGCATGGTATTTGTAAAAATACAACATATTTAGTTGAGTTCCAAAGCGCAGAAATTTTTACATACTTTCTTAAAAAATGTCTCAGCCCTCCACATCGATTCGAATCAAATATTTTGAGGATACGTAATAAATTGTAAACTGACCCCTATCGGAATGATAAAAATGATAATATTATGTATAAAAATAAACTTACCACTGTACATTAGTACTGGAGTACACAGTATCGCCAGCGGATATTAAAAACCCACCAGCGGTCTGAGAAGCCAGGAGCGCTTGGGTAATGGCGCCATGCCAGATACTGGGCTCCAGAAAACTCGTCCAGTCAGAATTAATCACCAATGACGACAAGTTATTCCCGTCACTGATGCATGCCATAATCACCACGAATGACACAATCACCACGGGTCCCAACACGTACAGTATCCGTTTCATCAGTTTTACCGGATTGTAAAAACTGAAAAACACTCTGTTGATAAAATTTTATCCAAGTAAGGTCAAATGTTGGTGAAGGTCAGTTGCAAAACAAGTAAATTGTACATTAATAATTTGCTAATCGAGCCTAAAAGCGTGATAATTCTATTTTTCAAGAACCGATGAAAGCTCCATTCAAATTATATCATTTTAAAAATCTAACCCTTGTTAGCAAATTATAAGTAAGGAATTTTCATAGGCTATAATTACAAAAAATATTAAAAGATTACAACATTCAAACTTTTGAAAGATAAAGCTACTACTATTCTTTTTTAAATAGGTTAAGGATTCTTATACAAAACACTAAAGCCAAAAGCATCTATTGTGTAAACTACATGTTATATGAATATTTTGTCAAATACAAAGCCACTTACATAAAAGGAAACACTATCCAAAGAACCAAAATAATTAGAGCTACAGCCAAATAGTATTCTGGTCTATCTTCTATTGGACCCATGAATGTATCTCTGAAACAAACACTCTATATAAATATACTAAAGTAAACAAAGAAAACAAAATCAAAAGAAGTCCACACGAGATAAAAGGTGGAAAAGAAAAAAATGATGCTATAAATATAGGAACAATACATCTGATTATAAATGTAATTAACTTACTGAAGACAGGTTGAGGCATTCACAGTATTGACATAATCCTCCTAAAAATAATAAAACATTATTAACAGCAGTCACAAAAATCTAAAATGCTACTGACTTATTACAATTTATCTATAGCTACTCAGACTTACTTGATCGAGGACCAGCTCAATGCATTCCCAAAACGGTAGCGAACTACTTAATGTGTAGAGAAAATACGTCACAGTCATGGCCAGGTATATAACCGAATATACGGAGCCAAGAAACGATATGAACAATCGCATGTAGCCCACACCTGGAAGAAAGAAATTTACTATTTACACAGTACAATTCGATACTAGTCAACCTCAAGACTATTTTTTTAAATAACTTTTTATTTTATGTGATAGGTCGGCAAACGAGCTGACGGATTACCTGATGGTAAGCAATCAGCGCCGCCCATGGACACCCGCAACGGAGGAGTTGCGAGCGCGTTACCGACCTTTCAGGGATTAGGGATTTGGAGATTTAGGGATTGAGGAGGGATTGGGGGAGGGGAAGGATTGGGCCTCCGGTAACCTCCGGTAACAACTGTTTTTATTAGTAAGGTATTTTGTATTGCAACTTATGGCTTAGTCCAAGCAAACAATTCATAATCACCATTAAGTCCATGTCTACCAAAGAGTCTACCTATAATTCTTAGTTTAGCAGGCAGTTCAAAAGGTTCAGGTTTATGAGAGAACACTGCTGCCAATTTCTGTCAAATTAGTGATAAAGGATCACAAACTCTTACGAAGGTTATAGGAAAAACAGGTTTACTCATCTGTTATCGGACGACAAAGACTATACAAGTAAGAAACAAAAACGCAGAATTAAAGCAGTATTTAGTTGTGAGGGAGAGCCAAGCTACGGCATAAATGAGCCGGCTCGACCGTAGTGATGCCATTGCTAACAGAAATCTAACTTGAAACTACAACAGTGTTGAGATTTGTGTGTGCGAGGTTAGAAGCCGGTGCCGGTGCCGGAGATTGAATCCTACTCCCATACCCTGATCTTCATCATCAAATCCCTAACCCCCAAGAGAATGGCAGCGAACTCGTTATTCCTCTGATGTTGCTGGTGTCCATGGAAACCGCCCAATGCCATCAGGTGATATGTCCACTCTTTTGCCGACCCATCTCATAAAATGATATTTATTTACCTGGAACCGCTGGTCTGATTGCCAAAATTCCTTCACTGATAGGTAGCTACAATGTTCCTGAGTGCTATAGGCTACAAAAATCACGCTACGATCAAATGGCGCTAAGCAGCGGGTGAAACCGCGCGAGAGTAGCTAGTTTTTTATAAAATCTTTGACGTCAGAATCGATAAAATTGTGAGATTTAATAATCGAATGAAATCGGGGACATTGCCATTATGGAGGTTTGATGCTGAGTTGGCAAGTACTAGACTCTGAAATCTGGATTCTTCTCATTTTTGTTTATTTCCTTACACAACTTATTTCACTTGGAAAACACCAAATTTGAAATTGAAATTATTATCCCACTTTAATCTAGCGATGTTTTTATTTTCCTTTGCTTTGTACCTATATAGTCTAGGTGTATGATAATGACGATGAATTGATCTGATAGAGCAATTACAACAAAGACTAATTATGACAAATATGACCTTAGAATGTAACAATATGGCAAGAATTAGAGGAATTTTGTACACAAATCAATAATAATGGGACACAAAGCTATTATTTCGAATAATCCACAAAGGTTTTTATCTCTTAAGGTAGGTAAGTACTTAATTGTTAACAAACATGCCATTATAAAATACTATGATTAAAATTTATACAATAAAAATATAAATTCATATTGGAAGTTGAATTGTCCTTAATTACCTATCATTATGAAAGACTACGACACCTAAGAATCGTTATAATTAACTTCCGATATACCAGTAAACTAAATACAACTTTTAAAAAGACAACCTCTGTGATCTCAAATAAGTAAACAAAGAAAGAAAGAGAATGAGCTAAGCTAAGAAGTAAGAATAGATAAACGAAATTCACCAAAAGCTACTATAATATTAAAAACAGTAAATTCTTTGTTGTTCAGGAGATGAAACGTCTGCTCATCAGGCCACGGGCATGATAGTTATCTCATAAAAAAGACATTCTTAAATAACTTACCTCTAAAAAAAGGAACAGCCCTCCACACCCCCACGGCATCTTGCTGGCTTAGTTGTCCCACTGCTAGCTGGAGCAAGGCCAGCGGTAAGGCCACGACCAGCAATGCCAGAGTGACTGCAAGTCCGTACTGCAGCCCTCCATGAATGAAGGCTTCCCGTGGAGCTCTCCATGTGGCGTGGAAGCTCACAGCTACGGCTGCGGTGCACACGTGAGCCCTGAGTAATGGCCAGCTTATCCATTCCTGGAGGTAAAGTTCCATTTAGTTGTAGCAGTATGTACTCATAATAATATTTACTTCGCCCAAAATTTGGTTTGGGCGAGAGAAGACATTTGATGTTTTTTCCCCCTTCAAAAAGAGGTACTGAATTGATTCTGATGATATTTGATCAGACCTTGGTAAAGGCTAACTGAGGCAATAACTCAAAGTCTTCTGCCAATTATTTATCCACGCAGACGAAGTCGCGGAAAAAAGGTATACCTACAGCTAATAAATAAAATACGGTCCAAGGGTTTCGACCCCAAGCCAGGTTGTTATACTTTTGACGATAGAGGTCGTCAGCCGCAGCGACACTCCCAGCTCGACATGCTATGCTTGGCAGATGGGATCATGCAGTATCAACGCAAATAAAGACCGTACCGTCAGATCTCTTGCCATCGTCAGGAACCAATCCATTAGGTTCTAAGGTAGCTGGCACCCGGTAGATAATATCATTTCGTTCGTGTATATTTACATACTTATTATACAAATATAATTGAGTACCTAATAACATTAGGAGGTTAGTCCCTCTGAGTGTACAAACAGCTGTCATGATATATTCTTCAAACAATATATCTGATGGAATTGGATAAAGTGGAACTTTAGTATCAGTTACGCAAACAAGGACTTTATTAAATTGCTTTATGATTGGTTTCGCAATGTACCTTTTTGTTACATTGATGTAAAGTCCAATTTGCAAATAAAATAGTTAACAGATTTCTTCCCGTCGCGATCATTCAAATATTATATTGTATGATGTAGGTATGTGGTCAGGACTCAATCATGAAAGTAAATTGTATGGGGTGCGAATCACCCAAATCACAGCAATTTACCAAAATATCAACAACAATAAGTTCACGATCCGCCTCGATATTCTTGAAGGAGTATTTAAGCACTGATGTACCTTTAGTTTATCACACATTTCGAAGGTTTCCTATTTATTCCCTCCTGCCATTAAGTGACGAATTGAAAAGTTTTTAAATTTTTTAAACTTTTGTTTTTAAATTTCTCTGAATCTGTTTCTCACGAATGGCGCTTGGTCTAATACATTATATAGGTATATCACAAAGCCAAACTAAAAATATAAATTTACAAAACATCCTTAAGAGCAATTAATGCAGATTTAGTCAGTAAGAATTTTAATATCGTAATTCTATTTTTCTATCAATTTTTTTTCGATATTATTATAAATATGTACATATAAATCTGTCAAATGAATAATATTCTACAATAAAAAAGCAACAAAAAACCCAAGTTCCTTTTTTAGATTTTGTGACGAAAAATGTTTATATATTTTTAAATGAAATAAAATTAAATTAAAATTTGAGATTTCGCAAACTGCAATGCTTTGAAATCGATCATTACTTATGATTTTGGTTTCAAGATTATCGATTTTGTAACAATAGATACATATAAAACAAGTTAAATAGCGAAACTTTTTGTTGCTATAGTCAATAATTGGTGAGAAAAACTAACCAAAATTCAGTGTAACAAAATTAAGACAAAATGTAGTAAAACAATGTGAAGTTTCAAATAAATTCGCAATAACATTAAATTAAAAACGTATGAAAGCAAAATATTGTTTATCTAAAACAAAAAGATATTTAGAATATTTTATATATTGCCTGTACTTTATGATCCTTTATTCAATAATAAAAAAACCAACACAAAAGATCAATCAACATGAATTTTCAAAAATAATCTGGACCGAAGATGAAGATAAAATATTAGGTATAACAAAACATAGATAAACATCGTTCAATGTTACAAATCACTATTAACTTTTAATATAAAATATTTCGTCACTTTAATTTAATAGTAAAAGGTAGCTTAGCAACGGGAAAACAAAATAATAATAAATGTTAAATGTAAACCGTACCTTGAGTCTGTAAGAATCGACCATCTCCGACCGATTGCGTCCCTTTAATCCACTAGGAGAACATGACACCGCTTCTCACATCAACACTACTGTTGACTTAACAGCACTGCACCAGAAATTGAAAGATTTAGCAACGTTCTAGATAAACGGGAGATAAAACGGCATATCTGAAACTATTGGACGACACAATCGATCTGTGAAGGCAGCTTATCACCAGCGCAGTTGCTCTCAAGTGTCCCGCGTTATCACGGAGTAACCAAGATACTACAGCGCTGGCTAAGTTTGTGATTCACTCGATGGTATTTGGAAAGTAAATAATAGATATTTATGTTTTTATTTTCTCGTACAATGCTCATAGTTCATTGTTTGTCAACATTATGCTGTGACATTTTGTATGGATCATGAAGTGTATTTTATTACATTAGCAATTCCGCTGAACATTACAGTGTATGCTCGCCCAATGTCATCATGAGAGTATACTGTGTTTTAATTTCATTACAGAGTTCCCGGTATGACTAATGATTAATGATAATGTTGATTTGTAGTTTATATATTATATTCAATCTGACTCATTGCGTACTTACAACAATAGTTGTTGAAAATTATAGTACTTTTAAGAGATCAGTAGTTTTTTTTAAGAAGTCTATTTATTTATTGGTTTGTTTATAACTGTAGTTGTAGCTAATAAAACTGATAATTAAGTAGAGAGCTCTAGGTTATAATTATAAGACGTACCAACTTATATACTTTTATCTACCTAGGTACTTTAAAATACCGCTGTGTGGTTTAAATGTAAAAATTTAAAAAAATCGTTTTCTGGCATATACGATATTTGCCAATATTTAATTTTAAGGCATATTTGGTATAGATATAACAATATTTTTATTTTTCTCGTAGTTAAATTAAAGCTAGAACTGTTTCGTTTTTTATTTTAATGTTATCATACCAACGCTTTTGTGTGTACAGTCGATTCTGGAATATCTATACTTCTTACTTTCATCTACACCAAATAAATAACAGATAAAAGTAAAAATTGTACCAACTTTGAATTTAAATTAATATCTGCCTATGTTCAACAGTCACTATGCAGATTTTAAAAATTCATTCGTTATTGAAAACCTTCTTTCTCCCGGAGTATCTTAGGCTAGGCTATATTACAAATATATAATATATGCTGAAAACTTTCTGCTAGTTTTTAATAGGAAGCTGATTTCTGACTTTATGCAAATTGGTCTGGCTTGTAAGGATGGCTTGTATCAAACTTGCATCATATTGCTCTAAGAAAAAAGCAGGCGCACTTTATTCGCCTCAACTTATCACTTTTTTATATTAGGAGGAACTTTTCGAGAACTGTCTAACTTATTGGCTAGTCAGCATGAGATTCTTATCTAACTGATCATCAAAATTATCTGAAGTGGGCCAGGGTTTTCAGTATTAGTACTTCGGAGATCTCACGGTCTGGGGCAGATCTATCTGGCCTTTTGAGCTATTACCCAAGGCCCCGTGAAAAAAAGGCAAAAAATGTGTGAGAGCCAAGCTTCAGCACGAATGGGTCGGCTCAACCGGAGTGATTCCACGGCCTTGTGTGAGTGAGGTTACCGGAGGCCTTATCCCTCTCATTCCCTCCCTTCCCAATCCTTTAACGCTTATCCCCAACGCACTTGTAACTCCTTTAGTGTTCCGGGTGTCCAATAGTAATCCGTCTGCTCGTTTGAAGACTTATTCCATAAAAAAAGCAATACCGCTTGTTATGAAGGGCACATCCCTAGCATTTCACTTATACAAATCATAAAGCACTTTAAATTGAGTTAAATCACCTAACATTACGTACGTAAACCGTACATCCTTTTTCAGTCATTTATGTCAAACAATACCTCAATAAAAAATGTGCACCCTATTTTCTACGTCATTAGATTTCAAATGCCTTGTCACTGTCAGAGTGCATTTAGTATTAACGACTTCCTGTCTTAAATTTTTAGTGCCTAGGTAATCTAACAACCGGATTTGGTCATAGCTGCTAGTCTTGATATGTAATCTCTTGCGGCCTTTTTCGTAAAGGATTTTGGACAATAGTTATATGACACAGTCTCGTGGTGGCCCGGTTGTTATTCCTACTTGCTTTTCATACATAAGGGTGCTGTTGAAACCCACCAAGTCTCATGAATATCTCGTGAATTGAAACTAGTACCTAGAGCATTTCTCAGTTAATTCACGAGACTGAGTCGTTATTTTCTATATGTTTAGCATGTCTCACGACAGTTACTATTCAAAAATGACCAAGGAGCAATGTGAATTTGCCAGAATTTTATGCCGTTTTAAGATTGTTAAGACAAAACTGTTATAATAATAATAATAAGTATTGTGAAGCAAAATATCGTGTAAAGTTTAAAACCGCCAATCCACCTTGAACAAGGATGGTGAATTATGCTCATTCCTTCGCCGTGTGAGTCTTCGCTGTGTTCACTACTAAGCAAAAGCCTTTGCATGCTGAGCACCTCTTGGCTGGTGATGTGTGCAAAATGAAGTTTCTGTCAAAAACAGTTCTGTATTTATTTGGCCGTAAGATAGTCTATTTATCATCTAAAGTATCAGTTGGTAACATAGCTTCGAAAATAAGTACTTAAACAGAGTCTTTTTCTTGCCATTTCACAATATGACTAGACATCCAAGTATTGTATGGACTGACGGCAGTCCTCACGCCGATAGTGTTGGGGCACTCGGTTCTCTCCACTACAGTCCCGCGCCTGTCTCGTCGAGCGAGAGAAACTGAGAAGCCGTTCCCTCTTTCTGTGAAGCAGTTAAGTTCGCAACGAAGGAGGCGGACCGCGTGAGTGAGCTATCCGCCTCCTCGCGCCCCATCCGCCTTAGTCGGCCCTCCGAGCGTCAGGGATCGTCAGATGATCTCCTCCCACCGCAAGCGCAGGTCTGCGGACGGCGAGTAAGAGAAAGCTCGCCGCCCGACTAGAACCAGATCAGAGCGTACAGCGCCTGGTGTTCCGCGCGCGCCTCAGTAAGCTAATAGAACACCACAGGCGGGACCTCATAGAGCTGATGTTTAGTCGGGGTGGCGGGGTAAGCGCAATGAGGCACCGATGCTTCGGCCTAGAGCAGGAGAAGGAACAGGGGGGTTTGAATTCAGTAAGTGTCTGACACTTCCTCTTGCCTCACCCTGGGCGGGAGAAGTCATTTGATGATTTTCCCCTAACAAAAAAAACCTTACAGTCCCACTTGCTTCTGACGCTGGTGACGCCGATAAAACCGAGAAATGCATTAGTGATCTTCCCGAGTCCTCAACGCACGGAGTAGACTACCAGCCGCAGTTTTGCGCTACACGCATTGACGGACAAGTGCCATAGCCTTGTACATTTTGATCTATGGCCGATCTCTTCTAATCATACTTTAGTACTTATTAGAACCACTTCCTGCCCATTGACTGCAATGAAGTTGCACTCAACTTTGCTACTGCAATGATAATACCTCGGTGTTCAGCTGTTCAGCACAATATGTCGTTCTCGACGATTATTTGCTCTTCAAATATAATTTTAAAAGTCGTATGCTCCTCCAATTTATAGGTAATAATAAATTATTACTATTTTTGCATACGAATAGTAATAACTCATTGTTTCGGAATTCGCACAAGTACAGCACGACTTTATAACACGGTCGTAAATGTTAGCCAATACCAACAAAAGTTTAAGTCTTCCGAGACGAAATGTTTAGTGTCGTGTACATAGTATTGTCTTACACGTTACTAAGAGTCGGCTGCATGCCGTCAGCTTTGAGAATTGTCAGCAATGTTACCCCTGCCGAAGATGAGTACCCGTTTATTGTAAGATTGGAAAGAAGAATAGTGCTAAAGTACAATAATACAATTGCTGCTGAAAACAACGTGCACATCTGTACGTGCGTCGCTCTCAGCCGCTCACTGTCGCTAACTGCCGGACACTGCCTCAACAGCGTAGGATCCATTACAAACCTTACCAATAGCCTCACTGTCCAAACTGTGGTACGGTTCGGCGCTGGGGGTGGTAACATAGCAAAAGTGATATCAGTTATCCAGCATCCAAGCTTTTATGAACCTGGTTCGGTAATGCGAAGTAACATTGGGTTGGTGAGAACAGAGCTAATTGAACTAAAGCAATACGCAAGACTGAGTGCGTTAGAAATCGTTGATTTACAAAATCGGGTGATTACTCTAGTTGGATACAAAGCTATCAAAAATTCGGTGAGAATTGGGGCAAGTAGAGTGTTTAAGCCGTCGCAGTTGCAGTTACTGCATGTAGTTGCGATGCCTCATGTGAACCAATCCGAATTGAAATTTTCTACGGAGTGTGCGTCTATACATTGCCTACCGACTTCAAGTACATGTCCTGGTGACTCTGGCGGGCCACTACTACACTCCACAGGCATAATTGGTGTCAGCACCATTAGTCTGGAATCCATCCAGGTTTGCTCCGAACTAAACAATACCCAATTGTTCAGAATGGAGGATATCATTGTCCTCACAAAGCCACATGTGCAATGGATTAATGATAGTATGACACGCGACGAGTGGAGCTCGGATATTAATTAGTACATAATATTGTGAATTCGTACTGAGACTGTGAAATGTGTCAGAAATAGCATAAATATCGACATCAGCTATCCATAACGTACACGTGTTAGTATTATACCCAGCGGGTCGTAAAAACTTTGTTATTTTAGATTTACTTTTTCAAATAACTTTTATGTACAAGTAAAATAAGTTAGTACCTACTTAAAAATAAGTGTAATTTCGCAATTACGTCTCAACTATTTATTCCATTCATTTGTTGTGTTAATAAATAATATATTGATGTTTATAAAAGCTATTTGAATAATGTGGCAACAGTACACAGCGTAAAACGAAATTGATATGTGGTAACGTTTGTTACCACAGAATATAAATACTTATAGAAGAATTTTGTACTTGACAAATGTTCATACGCTACAGGTATTGGAATTTCTTAAAAAAATCTTGAATAATACGAATAAGTATATCCTTACATAAATGAATGAAACTTTAATTATTGTTTTATATTAATAGGTTGCATTGAAAAGGCGAATAATAAGTTTTAAGTAATTCCAGTACCAAATTGTAATAAAATCTTTTTCTAGACATTCATTTTTGCAATAGATCAACACTTGCCTTCATCGTCAAAAGTTAAATCCCACAAAGAACGAACAACTCGCGCAGTTGAAAG